GCTAGTTCAAATGTTCTGGGTGTGTTGGACTGATTACAGCTGAACTGCCTACTGCACAGGGGAAGGAATGGCCGTGCATTCTTCCCTTCTTGCTCTCACGGTATTTTTTTTTTTTTTTTTTTTTAAGATGAAGTTAAATTTTAAAAAAGAAAAGGGCTTGTTGGGCCTGCTGGCACATGCTTGTCATCCCAACACTTGAGATGTGGAGGCAAGAGGATGGGGAGTTCAAGGGCATCACCATCACTGGGAGATGGTATCTGCTTTGAGGGTTTTGTTTTCTGCTCTGGCATCCATGTGAAGGTATGGCACAGTGCCTGTACCCACAGCACTGGGAAGACACAGACAGGGGGATCCTAGGCTCACTAGCCAGAAGCCCCAAGGTTCAAAGACAGACCCTGTCTCAAAAAAAAGCAAGGTGGAGAGGCTAAGTTCAGATCCTGGTACTCATAAAACAAGCCAAGGGCGTCCACAAATGCAGCTTTCCCTGGTTCTGGGAAGAGCAGAACCCTGGATGAGAAGAGCAGAACCACTGGGGACTGCTTGCTTGCTGTGTGGGTGAGACATCAGCCCCAGGTTCTAGAAGAAAGGGAGGAGAATGATGGAAGAAGTTAACAGCACTCCCTTCTGGCCTACTTACATACAGAATAATAAATATTTTAATTTTTACAACAAAAGAGGGAAAAGAATATGTCTCATGGCATATAAGTGCTTGTTGGCTGGGCAGTGGTGGCCCATGCCTTTAATCCCAGCACTTGGGAGGCAGAGGCAGGCCGAATTCAAGGCCAGCCTGGTCTACTGATTGAGTGCTAGGGCAGGGTCCTCCAAAGCTAAACAGAGAATCCCTGTCTCAAAGAACAAACACAAACAAAGTGCTTGTTGCTCAAGTCTGATTTCCCAGTCCAAACCCTGAAAGCCATGTAAAGGTGGTGGGAAGAGAGAGCTCACTGCACACAGCTACCCTCTGACCTCTAGGTATGTCCTGCAGACCACACAGGTATATCACAGAAGCACACACACCATAACACACACACACGTTTAAAAATGAGGAAGATGCCTTTAATCCCAGCACTTGGGAGGCAGAGGCAGGTGGATCTCTGAATTAAAAAAGATAGGGGGCAGTGTGAACAGAGACAGACCCAGAAGGACAAGATGTAAATAGTATCAGACACCTCACATATGTGCATATATATATATATATATATGCACACATACACACTATGTACAATATATACACATGTATGCACATATAAATACACATATATATATGTGGTACTTTGTAATTGGCCCCCATAAGCTCATAGGGAGTGGCACTGTTTGAGAATGTGGTCTTGTTGGAGGAGGATGGGCTTTGAGGTTTCCTATGGTCAAGATACCACCCAGTGTCTCAGTCCACTTCCTATTGTCTTCTGATCAAGGCGTAGCCAGCACCATGTCTGCTTGCATGCTGCCATGCTCCCTGTCATCATGATAATGGACTGAACCTCTGAAATGTAAGTGAACCACTCCAGTTAAATGTTACCCTTATAAGAGTTGCCATGGTCATGGTGTTTCTTCACAACAATAGAGCCCCAAACTAAAGCAACATGTATATATATGGATACACATATGGATACAGTGCATATGTATGTACATATACATCTCTATGCATACATATATACACATACACACATAATACACACACACATGCACAAATATACATGTAGGCACACATATGCATACATATATACATATGTACTGGTTGGTTTTGTGTCAACTTTACAAGCTCCTGAAAAAGAGCCTCATTTGAGAAAATACCCCCAAGAGATCCATCTGGAAGGCATTATTTTCTCAATTAATGATCAATGTAGGAGGCCACAGTCCACTGTGGGTGGTGCCATCTCTGGGCTGCTGGTCCTGGGTTCTATAAAAAAAGCAGGCTAAGCAAGCCATGGGGAGCAAGCTAGTAAGCAGCATTCTCCATGGCCTCAGCATCAGCTCCTGCCTCCAGGATCCTCCTCTGTTTGAGTTCTTATTCTGACTTCCTTCAATGATGAACAGTAATATGGACATATAAGCCAAATAATGCTTTCTCCCCAACTTGCTTTTTGGTCATGGTTTCAGTGAAGCAATAGAAACCCTAAGACTATATACATATACATACATATACACACATGCACATATGCACACATATACATACACAATACATATACATGCATACATACACACATATACACATATGTATATACACATGTATACATTTTTTTCAGTACTGGGATGGAACATAGGACCTTTGAAGATTCTAGCCATGGACTTGCTACTGAGCTGCATCCCATCTCTATTTTTGTTTTTATGGATTTATTTTTTGAGACAGGGTCTCATTATGTAGCCCAGCCTGGAACTCTTTGTGGCACTGGCTCGCTTTAAACTCAGAGATCCACCTGCCTCTGCCTCCAGAGTGCTAAGATTAAAGGTGTATGCCACCATGCCGGGCTAAAATTTTATGTTACTGTATTTTGTTTATTTATTTTTATTTGTGTTTTTATTTGTTTGGTTTGTTTTCCAAGACAGGGTTTCTCTGTGTAGCCCTGGCTGTCCTGGAACTTGTTTTATAGTCCAGGCTGATATGCCTGCCTCTGCCTCTGGAGTGCTGGGATTAAAAACATATATCACCATTGCCTGGATATTTAATTTATTGTTTAAATAGCATCTCACGTGATCTACAGCAATAGAGAATTCATCTCCTCCTTCCTCAGCATTCCAAGTGCACAATATTTCTTTTTAGCATCATCACATTTTATTTTACTTTACTTCTGTGGGAAAGATGGAGCCGAAGCTCTCATGAAGTCATAGCAAGCTCTGACACCACAGCCCTTAATGAATATTTACTGGGTGATAAGTGCTGCTCCATCTGCTGAATCGTACTGTAAATAAAATACAAAAATACCATAGTGTAAGCCTAGAATCCCCCAGTGAGGGAATGGGGGTGTGGTCAGGGGTGGAGCCCCGCCTAGAATTCCCCAGTGAGGACATGGGGTCGTGGTCAGGGTGAAGCCCCATCAAGATCCCCCCAACCCCCAGTGAGACACTCATCCTCATCATTAACACCACAGAAACAGAGAGAATTCTTACACACAGGCAGATAACAACCTAAAGCCTGTTACTTGGAAACCTTAGGCAGGGGGATGGTATGTTGGAGCCCATCCTGCATTAAATAGCGAGACAGGTAGAAAACCAAGACTAGCCAGGCGGTGATGGCAGATGCATGCCTTTTATTCCAGCACTCCAGTGGCAGAGGCAGGCGGATCTCTGTGAGTTTGAGTCCAGCCTGGTCCTGTATCAGGACAGTCAGGACTGTAGAACCCTGTCTCAAAAAAAAAAAAAAAAAAAAAAAACCCAAAAGAAAAAAGTCCTTCTAGTGATCTGTGCGTGGTGTCTTCGACGTTCAAACTCACCAGGCTGCACCGCAGGAGGACTCAGTGGAAAAAGGCACTTGCTGCCAGCTTTGGTCATCAAAGCCTCATCCCTCACATGGTAGAAGGAGTGACTCCTGAGAGGTATCCTCAGAATACATAAACAAACAAACACAGAAATGTAGGCTCTGGATGTTTCCAAGTTCCCTCATGGAATATTCCAGAGGGCAGGGTCACACAGGAAGGTCTCCAAGAGAGCAGAGCTGAGCCCCAAGGTGATGGCCTCTGCTGGTTGCCCCAGATCCAGGGAGACGTGCCCCGGACTCTCCATGGGGACCAGGTGATTAGGTCTGTTGGGTCAAGAGTTGAATCTTAACCAGTATGGGAAATCACTTCTGTCACCTTAGCATTAAGAAGGCTGAGACAGGAGGATTGCTGGTTTCAGGCCAGTCTGAGTTATACCATGAAAGTCTGTCTCAAAACACCATTTTTTGTTTTTTAAGCCAACCAGACTTTTACTACCATGTAACATTATTCCATGTCTGAGTTTATCTGTCTGAGAAACAGGAATTGTTGAACCTCTGCAGACTTATTATTTGGTGGGTTTTGTTTGCTTGTTTGTTTGTTTGTTTGTTTGGTTGGTTGGCTCTTTTGTTTTTTGAGACAGGGTTTCTCTGTGTAGCCCAGGCTGACCAGGGAACTCACTTTGTAGGCCAGGTTGGCCTCGAATTCACAGACACCCTGCCCTTGCCTCCCAGTTTATTTGTCTTTGAGATGGGGGGGGGGTCTCATTAGCTCAGTTTGGCTTCAGATTTACTATGTAGCCTTGAACTCTGAATCCTCCTGCCTCCACCTCCCAAATTCTGGGATGACAGGTATGTGCCATCACTAACTGCCATGCCAGGCATGGAACTCAGGGCTTCTTGCATGCCAGGCCAGTCTTGAAACATATTTTAACTTACATGAATGAGCATTTGCTTGTCTGGTGCCCGCAGAGGCCAGGAGGGGGAGTCGGGTCCCTAAAACCAGACTTAAGGATGGGTGTGACTATGAGCCACCATATGTGTGCTGGGAACTGAACTCAGGTCCTCTGGAAGAGCAGCGATGTTTGTAACCTCTGAGCCATCCTTCCAGCACCCCAGCCCTATTCTTACCTTTCCTTTGGAGACGAGGTCTCACTTTGGAGCCCAGTCCAACCTTAAACTCCCCATCTTCTGCCTCTGCCTCTGAGATTCCAGATGACAGGTGTCCCCACCACAGCTGGTTCTGTGGGTGCTGGGGTAGACCTCAGAGCTTTATGTGTGTTAGTGGAACACTCTACCCACTAGGTACTGCTCTATCCAACCCCTTATTACCACAGTATTAAAGTAGTCACTCTCCTCATGTCGTGCTCCTCAAGTGCCGGCTTGGGTGGCCTCCTCCCTGCTCATTGTCGCCCAACCCGAGCAGCACCACCCCCTCAGCCTCTCTGCCCAGGGCGGCCTTGGTGCCCTACCACCGTGCACATCTGCCAGGCTACCTGGTGCAATAGGGGAGCCGCCCAGCAGGTTTTTCCTCTCAGCCTGCTCGGGGGCCTTGAGCTGTTCTGTCCCCACCTTGCCTGGGCTGGGCATTCTGAGTCTCGCTCACACAGCTGGCGCACCTCTGCCAAGCACAGGACACCAGCACCAGCACCAGAGCAAAGATGCCCAGCATCTTTGCCTACCAGAGCTCTGAGGTGGATTGGTGTGAGAGCAATTTCCAGTACTCGGAGCTGGTGGCTGAGTTCTACAATACGGTAAGGGCCTGGGTAGGGGCTCTGGGAAGGGTGGGATGGGGTAGGCTTACTGAATGTTGGATTAAAACACAGCTCCTCTACAGGGTATGTTTGAGCAGTTGACTGTGTGTGTGGCCAGACAGATCAGCTTGTATCCATTCATTCATCTGGTATAACTGCGATCAATGGCAGGTTTTTAGAGTGAGGTTGGACCCAGGCAGGCTTTCTGGAGGAAATAAGAATGCCTGGGCTCTTATCTGCAATCCCGCAGCCAAAGATGATGAATGTATCCTATGTTTACCTTTTATGATCCTATTTGAACCACTCTGAATCTTACCTTCCTGTACCTGATAATGCACTACACCGGGAGTACTCAACTCTCAGTACTTCATACACATCGACGGTGCTGGAGAAACTTGAAAGATGCAGTCAGGTAGAGGAGGCTACTCGAGCTTATTGTCACTGCCTGGAACACAGATGCTTAGCCCCGGGAAGCATCATCACTTCCCTTTTCTGAAGACAGGTTCTGGAACGTGCAGCCTGGGCTACCTGCCATGCATGTCCTCTGGTGTTTGGATCCCAACGCTGGAACTGGAAACCAGCACCCACCACACCCAATACTAGCTTGTACTCAGTGTTTGCCGTGTGCACTTTGGACAGACCTTTCACCTCCACAATCTAATCTGATCCACACAGCCTCATGGAGAGACGGGGAGACGCCATCAGGGGTGTCTCATTGTGTAGCAAGTGTTCCCTGCGATGAAGATAGGCTGGGAACTAGCCTTGTACTTAAAGCTAGACTTAGAGTTTCAGCTTGACAGATTCAAGATGTACTTGTGTGTGTGTGCATCTCTCTCTCTCTCTCTCTCTGTGTGTGTGTGTGTGTGTGTGTATGTGTGTGTTTCCTTGCAACAAAAATTCAGGAAGGGTTGGTGAGATGACTCATAGTAAAGGCGACTGCCGACATCTGAGTTCAATCCCTGGGGTTGACATGCTGAAAGGAGAGAATCAACTCCTCAAAATTGTTATCAGATCTCTGTCCCACCTTGAATCCCTCAGTGAGGTGCTGGAGCGTGGTCAGGGTGAAGCCCCACCTAGAATCCCCCAGTGAGGGACTGGGAGTGTGGTCAGGTTGGAATCCTCACCTAGAATCTCCAGTGAGGGCTTTGTTTCTGTGTCCTCAGTTTCCATCTAGGTATTGAGCCAGGTTGAAACTACCATTTTCAGACATCAGAGAGGATTAGGTTTCTACAGATAAACTTTCTGCTTTACCAAAAGCCATTCTTGTCCAGAAAATTCTCTGGCCGTCTTGGTCCACTCTGATGGGTCCCCCATAAAAGATCTCTAGAGTGTACTAAGTCAGTTTTGGCTGGGCCTTGGCCTCTCATCCCCAAATGTCCATTGTGCCCCGCCTCAGCAGCCTTAGTCATCAGGAGAGCCTATCATACCTGAAGGGAGAGAGCGATTTCACACCCTCAGCCACGGGGACATTTCCATATGCAGTCCAGGTGTTTCACAAAATGAGAATAAAACTTCCTTCAGTATGAATCCAATTAGCTTTTGTTCTTTCATTTTGTGTGGGGCCCAGGCTAGCTTCAAGTTCAAGATCCACAGCACCCCCACCCTACCCAACTTCAACCTCCCAGATGCTATCAGAGGCACCTGCCATCACATCTGACCTTATTTTTAATTTTTCCTAATACATTTCTTATCCATTTATTTATTCTCTGTGTGCAAACTCCCTCATGTGGAGTTGGGAGATCCAATGCAGACCTAGCTGGGGAGAGTTTCTGGCTGTGTGAACTGGGTCTTTCTCCAGGGTTAATTTCCACTGCACTAGGGCAGAGTGCTCGATGGTTATGTAAATGAGCCTAGATAAGGTTGTAAGCCAAAACAACTTTATTGACAGAAGCCAGGTGTGGTGGTGGCCCAGGACTGCCACCCTGCAGGAAGGTGAAAGGCAGGCAAACTTAGGTGGTGACTTCCAATCTAGCCTGGGCTACAGTATGAGGTTGTCATAAGGAGAGGGTAGAAGGACAGGAAAGGAAGAGAAAGGAAGGAAAGAAAACCAATCATGTGTACACCTGTCATCCTAACACTTCAGAGACTGAGGCAGGAGGATTCTCCCTAAGCTACATGATGAGTTGGGGGCCAGCCTGGGCTACAGAAGACTCTGTCAAAAAAAGAAAAAGAAAAAGAAAAAGGGAGTGACGAGTTTGTGCCCCCCCCCCACATCCCACAAGAGACAGGGTTTCTCCATTTACCCCTGGCTGTCCCACCTACAAATTTGTTCTTAGTGGGTTGTCCCCTTCCTGTTGCTTTATGGTGGCAGTTGGCCAGCCCCAGAGTAAATAGACTGTGGGAAGGAACTGTGGTCCAGCCTTGGTTAGTCAGTGCACTACAGCAATCTTTTTTACCTAAGAAATCCCCTCAATAGACAGTATTTATAAACCAAGTCAGCCTGAGTCACTTTTGCCTGGGACACACGGATGGATGCAGATGCTGGAAGCTGAGACAGTGTTCATGACATGTATGCAACTGGTATATTCTGGAGCCACACTGTGCATTTGAGTGTGTCATTCCAGCACTGGGCAAGCTGAGATCAGTCAGGAACTGAAGGCCCTCCCTTCTTTGCTATGGAGAGTTTGAAACCAACCAGGGCTACATGAAACCCTGCCTCAAACAAGATGGAGAGCCACTGAGGAATGACACTTGAGGTTGTCTGCTTGTCTTAGTTAGGGTTTTTATTTCTGTGAAGGGACACCATGACCACAACAACTCTTATAAAGGAAAGCATTTAATTGGAGCTGGCTTACAGTTTCAAAGATTCAGTTCATTATCACCATGGTGGGAGGTATGGTGATGTGCAGGCAGACAGGGTGCTGGAGAAGGAGCTTGGTCAGCAGGTAGCAGGAGACTGAGGCACACTAGGCCTAGCTTGAGCATATGAGACCTCAAAGCCCACCTCTACAAGATACACTTCCTCAAACAAGGCCATACCTCTTAATAGTTCCATTCCCTATGTGCCTAATGGAGGGCAATTTCATTCAGATCACCACTGGTCCACACACAAAGACACACAGACACAAAAATAAAACAAGCAACTGCTTTTGCATGCTACCAGAAGGCAACCCAGGAAAAAGTCTAATATTTTTACAGTGATTTCATGAACCACAGCCTGCAGTTGCAGAAGATGGCTTTGAGAATGGATCATCTGCATTTATTACAGGGTCTGGTTCATAGCCTGGGCTAGCCTCTAACTCAAGATCCCCCACCTCAGTTTCCCAATTGCTGAAATAGCAGGTGATGCCACTGTTTCCAGACAGAATTTCTCTGTGTAGCCGTGGCTGTCCTGAAACTGGCTCCATAGACAAGGCTGGCCTTGAACTCACAGAGATCCACCAGCCCCTGCCTCCTGAGCACTGGGATTAAAGGCATGCATCACCACTGCCCAGCATTTTCATTCTTAATGATTTTTTTTTTTAAAAGACAAAGTCTCTCTACATAGCACTGGCTTTTCTGAAGCATACTATGTAGACCAGGCTGGCCTCAAACTTGCCAAGAACCTCCTGCCTCTACATCCAGAGTGCCAGAATTAAAGGAGTGGGCCACCATGACTGCTAGAGAAACTTTTAAGTTACATTTTGGAAAGGCTTATTTTAGCCAGGAATGGTAACCAAGCCTTTAATCCCAGCACTCAGGAGGCAGAGGCAGGTGGATCTCTGTAAACTCAAGGCCAGCCTGGTCTACATAGCAAGTTCCAGGAGAGCCAAGGCTCTGTAAAGAGACCCTGTCTCAAAGTAACCAAAAATTAAAAAAAAAACCTTTAAATTATGTATGTGTGTGAGTGTGTGTGGGGGGTGCCTGCATGTGAGCATGGGTGCCCTGGGAAGCCAGAAGTGTCTGGTCCTCCAGAGCTGGATGTATGGATGGCCATCAGCTGCCTGACATCCGTGCTGGGAGCAGAACTCAGGTCCTTTGCAGAGCACTGCTAGGCACATTTTAATTCAGTGCATGTGAGTCAGTGTGTGTGGCTTGGGACAAGCAGAAGAAACAGCACACAGAAGCTGAGGGTGTGGTCGAGGCACAGGGTGCCTGATTAGTAACTGAGGAAGTGGGTAATGGAAATGGTGGCACTAGGAAGTCAGGATTGGAGTGAAAATGGTCTGAGACCATGGTGCCTAGAAGGTGACTTGAAAGGCTGTGATGCGAGAAAGCATAGCCTGTTGAGAAATGGCAGGTAATGTGGGAGAAGCCAGAGCCCAGGTTGTATGAGGATGGATCCAGGGCCAAATTGGAAGCAACTGGCTGAGGGATACATGATTTATCAGACAACATAGGGCAGGTGGACCCTGTCTGAGTGGTGGCGTCACAACATGACAACAGCCATCAGTTGGGGCACCTAGATAATATATGGACATGGGCCGAAAGAGCCAAGAGCCAAGTAGGACCTATGGGAAGGCCCAGAGGTCAAGGGTGGGGAAGAGCTGGCTTCAGTGAGATTGAGGGTGACCTTGGGATTCATACTAGTTTTCACCTGTTAACACTGGCCCGCTGGCTTTGAGTTTTCTGAGTGCTTGGGGGTGTTTCAAGGCACTCAGGCTCCTAGGGACTGTATTTCTTTACTTATCTGCACGTGTGTGTTTGTGTATCTATGTGTCTGGGTGAGTATGTGCGATACATACTCTTGAGTCTTGAGAAAAAGGCACTGGCTGCCTGGTGCTGGACTTACAGGTACTTGTGAGCTGGGAACCGAACTCGGGCCCTACACGTGTAGCAACTGCTCCTAATTGAGGCATCGTCTCTCCAGCTCGAAGGGGCTGTGAAGATACAGAACATGGGAATCATACAGCCCAAGCAAATACATGGAGGTAGGAATAGGTAGGTGCTGGGGCTCAGGGCAGGGCACATGTGGAAGGGGCCATGGACTGCCATCCACCATACCCTCCCCATGTCCTCTGAGCCAGCTCAAAGCTGCCTACTTCCTGGCTCTTCCTTGAATGCTCTGTATGTACCAAGGC